TCCTCTCTTGAATGGCACTGAAATCGAAGTCATATTAATGCTTACCTCCATGACGATCTTGAAAACGTTCCCCTTTCTTTTTTAGAAACACCTTTGTTAGAACTTTCAAACCCCCAGGTTTTTTCATTATGAGTACGCTGTCTTGTGGAATTGTTGGCCTTCCAAACGTTGGAAAATCCACTCTCTTTAATGCTTTGCTAAAAAAAATCCAAGCAGGAGTTGCCAACTTCCCCTTTTGTACGATTGAACCCAATATCGGAGTTGTCGATGTCCCTGATAAACGGCTTCAAATTCTTTCTAATCTTTCAAAAAGTCGAAAAATTGTCCCTGCTACCATGACTTTTGTCGATATTGCAGGACTAGTAAAAGGAGCCTCAACTGGAGAAGGGTTAGGCAATCAATTTCTCAAAAATATTCGAGAAACAGATGCCATCGTTCACGTTGTTCGCTGTTTTGAAAATGATCAAGTCGTTCACATTGAAGGAAAAGTGAACCCAATTGCTGATATTGAGGTGATCCACCTCGAACTTGTACTCGCAGATTTGCAAATGGCCACGAATATTCTCCAAAAAATTGAAAGGCAAGCCAAAGGAAATAAAGAGAACCTTCTCAGCATTGAAACCCTAAAAAAGTGCACGATCATCTCACCAAAATCGTCCTTTACGCTCTCTTTCTTTGTCTAGAGAAGAACAGGCTATTTTGAAACCTTACCACTTCATTACATCTAAAAAAATGATCTACGCAGCGAATCTTTCAGAAGAAGATATTCTTGGATCAAATCAGTCTCATCTCAAAGCGGTTCAAGACTACGCAGCTGAGGAAAATAGCGTTGTTCTTCCTTTTGCGCAAAATTGGAAGAAGAACTGCTCGCCCTACCTCAAGAGGAGGCCGAAGAGTATCTCGCTTCTATGGGTTTAAATGAGTCAGGCCTTTGTCGACTGATTCAAGTCTCTTACAACACTCTCGGTCTCATTACATTTCTCACGACAGGAGAACAAGAAACTCGAGCTTGGACGATTCAAACCGGAACAACTGCTCCCGAAGCTGCCGGAAAAATTCACACCGACCTTCAAAAAGGATTTATCCGCGCAGAAGTGATTTCATTTGAGGAAATGGTCAAATATGGGGGACGACTTGGAGCAAAAGAATCTGGAAAAGCCCATTTAGAGGAAAAGAGTATATTGTCCAAGATGGCGATGTCATTCTTTTTTTTCATAATTAATCATAAATTAAAAAAATATATCTATTTAATTAATTTCTACTTTTTTATAAGATATTGCTAAGTTTTAAAAAAAAGGGAAAATACTCAATGTCTCATGTGTCACTAAATCCATCTTCCTTCTTGACAAAAGTTGGAAATGTTATTTATCCAAAAATGAATTAACAGGACATCGCTCTTTCAATTTTATTCCGAATTTTTTGATCAATTTATAGGATTAATAGTTTATAACCTTGATTGCCCTGTTAAAAAACAAGTGGATTCAGGGAAAAAATATACGCTCGTTCAAGATATTTTTAAGGAATTAGTAAAAACAGCAGAAAAAAGATGCCCTTCATCAAAGCAGAATCGATGGGAGATTCGTATTAAGGAAGACTCTGAAATCAACGCCTTTTGTGCTCCCGGTGGAAAAGTGATTATTACCACTGCCATGCTTAGAAAATTGAAACAAAAAGCAAGCAAGGCTAGTGATGTTTCCCAAAAAGATCTTATTGCAGCAGTACTCGGACATGAAAATCAGCCACGCCCTAGCTGAGCACAGCCGTCTAAGCTTTCAATTTCATTTAATCATCACTTAGTTAGAAAATTGGCGGCTCGAATCTTTTCTTCCACTCTCGTTCCAAATTCAATTCCCGTAGAGCAAAATAAAAAATCGAAAATCAAACAGAAGAATCAAGAGAAGAAAAAGAAATGGAGGAAAAAGAAAAACAGTGTATCACAAAATAGACACCGTTCTGAACTGGGCCAGTTCTTATTTTCTTGCTCAAAAAAGTCAATCTTGCGAATTTGAAGCCGATCAATTTGGAATAGAACTCGCTCATGAAGCTAAATATAATCCAAAAGGGGCAATTTTATTGCAAGAAATGTTTTTAGAAATGGAACAGAAAAAATCCTTCTTAGAACAGGTATTGAGGGGCCTGCGTTTCTTTCTTCTCATCCCCCTTCTCAAGAGAGATTGAAAAAAAATCAAGAAACGGTAGATCTTTTAACTTCCGTAAACCGTTCGCGATTGTATCGTCAAAGAGAAGGGTAACCCTTCTCTTTTTAGTTTAAATTTGATGCATGAGTTGAAGAAGCTGCTCGGCAAAGGAACCGGCTCTACCTCTCCTTGATTGTAAAGGATAGCCACTCCAGTTCCTGTTTCCGGAATCAATCCCATATACGTTCCAAAACCCAAAAAATTCCCCCCAATGGAATAGAGCTTTTGATTTAAAGTACCAAAAGGGGTGATTTTCCATCCGAGACCCATTTGAAAAGGTTTGAAATGTCCGGTAAGGCGTTTGCATAATCGAAAGGATTGCCCCCACATAAGAGTCTTTTTGCTTGAAAAGATTAGAAGAAAGAAAAGACAGAACTTCCCAAGGGGTTAAATAAAGCCCTTGAGACCCCATCAAGACAGAAAATGTTTTTTCTCGAAAAAGAGGACAAACTTCTTTTCTAAGCTGGTAGCCTGTGACTAAACGAGATTTTTGCTCGATATTGGGAATAAATATAGCCTCTTCTAATCCAAGTTGTTTCGAAAGGGTTTGACTTAAAAGATTTGGAAAACTTTTTTTTGAAATGCAAGCAAGGATATGTGCTAAAAAAGCATATCCAAAATTTGAAATTCGTACTGAGCGCCAGGTTCCCTAGGAAGTTGGTATTTTGAAAGGAACCGATACATTTGACTCATGCGAAAAGGAGAAAGATTCAGACAAAGATCTGGCAGATCAGGGAGGGCTGAAGTATGCGTGGCTAAGTCTCCCAAAGTGATTTCTTTTCCTTGATAGGTCGGGAGACGGACTGATTTGAAAGAAATTTTGAAACTGGATCTGTCAAACTGACATGCCCTTCTTGAATCAAAGAGGCTAAAGTAAATGCAGTAAACACCTGCGTTAAAGGACCAACTCGAAATGTAGAATGCTGATTTACTGGAATTAAAGACTTCATAGAAAGGGTCCCTTGCGTGAAAATTTTCTCAAAGGGCTTATCGCCTTCCCGTCCGATTACAATCACAGCTATGCTTGCAATCGAATGTTTTTTCATAAATGCATGTGTTAACCTTTCAATTCTCTTTTGCGTCTCTTTTTCTTTGCTAAAAAGAGTGAAAAAGGGAATCAAAAGGAAAATAAAAACCAGGGGTCTCATTTTCAAAATTCCATAAGATAGATTATACTAGGCTATCAATTACCATTAAATAAAAAACTTTACAAAATAGGAAATTTTTAAACAGATGACTTCTAGACGAACGTTGAATATCTTTTTTCTCTCAATGATTAATGTTGCGGCAATCTGCAGCATTAAAAATTGGCCAATGACCGCTGAATATGGATTTTCTTCTCTATTCTATTTTGTTGTTTCAATTGTTTGTTTTTTTATCCCCGTTTCTTTGGTTTCTGCAGAACTTGCAACAGGATGGCCAGAATTAGGGGGGGTCTATGCATGGGTTAAAGCGGCCATGGGACACCGAATGGGATTTTTAGCGGCCTGGCTTCTTTGGATAGAAAATGTGGTCTGGTATCCAACGATTCTTTCCTTTATTGCAGGAACAATCGCCTTTTCTTTTAACCCGTCTTTAGGAAATAACACGTTCTATTTATTTTGCATGATTCTTGGACTTTTTGGGTTGCAACTCTGGTCAATCTCTTAGGCATGCAAGCCTCTGGCTGGATCAGTTCTCTGGGGGTGATCTTTGGAACAGTCATTCCAGGGCTCCTCATCATCACACTTGAGGGGTTTGGGTCCTGAGTGGTCAACCCTCTCATATTGCATTCACTTGGGATGCCCTCATTCCAAAAATGAACAGCCCGAAACAACTCGCCCTTCTCACGGGAGTTTTGCTCAGTTTTGCAGGAATGGAAATGTCTGCTGTCCATGCGCGAGATGTGAAAAATCCACAAAAAACTATCCCAGAGCCATTTTATTTCGGCCCTCATCATCACGATCCTTTCTCTTTTAGGAACTTTAGCCATTGCGATTGTGATTCCTCAAAAAGAGATCCACCTCATTTCTGGAGGGATGGAAGCGATCTCTTTTTCCTCAAATCGTATCACTTAGGATGGGCTGTGCCAATCATTGCCGTTTTGATTGCTTTTGGCGCAATGGGAGGGGTGAGCACCTGGGCAGCAGGGCCGAGCAAAGGGCTTTTAGCCGCAGCTAGAAATGGAGACTTACCCCCTTTTTTCACAAGGTGAACAAAAATCAAATGCCGATCGCAATGCTCATTTTTCAGGGACTGATTGTTAGCCTCTTATCGATTGTCTTTTTTAATGCCAAACGTAAATAGTTCGTTTTGGATGCTTATAGTCTTAACTTCAGAGCTGTATCTCGGAATGTATCTCCTCATGTTTGTCTCAGCAATCATTTTGCGCTATACACATCCCAACGTTAAAAGAGCTTATACCATTCCTGGAAAAAAATTGGGGATGTGGGTGATTGCAGGAACAGGGATCCTTGCTTCTTTATTTAGCGCCGTGATTGGATTTTTTCCTCCAGAACAACTCGAAACGGGAACCCTTCTCTATTTTGAGCTGTTTTTAATAGGGGGGGTGATTCTTTTTTGTGGAATGCCCTTTCTCATTCTTCTTTTTAAAAAACCGAGCTGGGACACTCATAATTCCCATTAAGGTAGAAACCCAAAAAAGCGCTATAG